ACACACACACACACACACACACACACACACACACACACACACACACACACACACACACACACACACACACACACACACACACACACACACACACACACACACACACACACACACACACACACACACACACACACACACACACACACACACACACACACACACACACACACACACACACACACACACACACACACACACACACACACACACACACACACACACACACACACACACACACACACACACACACACACACACACACACACACACACACACACACACACACACACACACACACACACACACACACACACACACACACACACACACACACACACACACACACACACACACACACACACACACACACACACACACACACACACACACACACACACACACACACACACACACACACACACACACACACACACACACACACACACACACACACACACACACACAGACAAACGTGAACAACCCTTAGCCCGTTATTATAAGTTATCTATATATATATAAAACTCAAAAATTGTCAGTTTGGAGGGTATGTGCGCTATAGAAACTTGCGCCGCTCAACCGATTTAGCTGAAACTTTGCACACATATGTTTTCGACCCTTGCGCAGATGATAGGCTACTTTTCGCGGCGATTTGTTGGGTCCTTCTATCGATTTATTGATTTTTAGCACTTTGCAATTAAAATGATTCTTATCACCTGCTATCAAAGCAGAGATATGTAAACAAGGCGGGTATGTTTCATTGTGGACTTCTGTCAGCGAAGTGCAGTGAAAAATGCTCTTGATGTGAGTTTCAGTCGTTCAATCAAGTGAATACACTTTATATTATATGCTGCGGTCTACCTTAGCATCAAAGCAACACAAAAAATGAAGCTCATCATTGTGAAAGTCATTACGCTACTCATCTCTCCTTTGCATGTCAAACCGCAATGCTTAATCTGTAAAGTCTCTGAAGTTGTTTTTTTTTCGGCTTCGAAGCGGATGTCCATTGTAAGTTATCCATGGCACCATGACATATAGGAGGGGAAGGACTCGCAGTGCAGGTGAACATTGGCCCGGGCTGGACCGGGAAAGCCCAACTAGTGATATATATAAAACTCAAAAATTGTCAGCTTGGAGGGTATGTGCGTTATAGAAACGCGCGCCACTCAACCGATTTAGCTGAAACTTTGCAAACATATGTTTTCGACCCTTGCGCAAATGATAGGCTACTTTTTGCGGCGATTCGTTAAGTTCTTCTATCGATTTATTGATTTGTTTGCATTTTCCTAAGGAATTAAAGGGTTATCATGTTCAATCAAGCATTTTCCATACTCATGTAAAGGAGGGCGGTGAAGCTCATTTTCACCTCAGGATCACGAGGATGCGGTTTCCAAGCGGATGTCCCAGGGTAAGTCATCCATACCATATAGGGCGGGGAGGGGGGGGGGGGGAGGTTGGGGTTCGCAGTGCGGTGAACCATGGCCCGGGCTGGACCGGGAAAGCCAACTAGTTACTTATAATAACGGGCTAAGAATGTTTACGTGACTTTGTGTGTCTGTGTGTGTGTGTGTGTGTGTGAGAGTGTGTCTGATACGAAATTCGTAGAGCGTGTTCCAGCCAACCTCCTGGGCTCAAATTTTGCACAATGCATGCTACCCGCATGAAAGTCCAACATGCAAAAGTACGAGCAGATTCGTTGAGTGGACCCTCAGAAACTGCGCGTCAAACGGATCCACTTTGCATTTGGGCCGCAAAATTGGGTCCGTAATTCCACTTTTTGTAGAGTCGTGAATGTTTATGCCAAGTAAATGTGCAAGCCATGAACTTAGGCCCAAAAAAATGATCAAATGTCCATTACTTTACAAAAACGGCGCCAAAAAGTAATGGTTGCTTAAATGGTCAATTTGCCAAGGTTTTACCAGAGCTTTTGACGAGATTTTTGCACAATAAGATGTAGCTCACGGTGACTGCTGTTCTTATTGCAACTGTCAAGACCACGGGAAAATCAAAAACCTATAAAAATTTGCGTTTGTTCTCCTGCAAAAAGTCTCATCCACGCTTAGTCGCCGATTTCACTTAAAAAAGGTTTCGGAATGAGTAGTTGTTTACATTTTGTTCGTGATAGTCGGCATTGCTCGGTGAGTTCCAATGCCATCATTGTGCGAGAATGAGTGGGGCCTAGATAGTGGAGCCAATGCGAGTCTCTGCCAAGCAGAGGTGACGCACTGGTAGGAAAAAAGCCAATAATCCAGTTTTCTGAGGGCTTGTACTCAAGAGTATAAGAAGCAAACATATATTATTAGCATACAAAAATTTGTGGAAAAACCGAACATACAAGGACATCAAAAGTTGTTCAAGGACTTTCCCCCAACCCTGTATATATATCCATTTGATCCATTCATTTGGTGATGCTACTTTCGTTTGAAATTGGGTACGTTCGATGGAGTTGATAGATATGTCGTGAGTGTTTTTTGTTGTTATTGCAGTTTTGAATTGACTAAACTTGTGTGAAGCATGTTTTACTTCAAAAAAGCACGATTCATTAGCTCGGTAGGTATGAAAGCTTTCGAGATGCTTTCCGAAATTATTATGGGCTAGATTTAACTACTTTTCTAAGAAGAGGCAGGCTTTTGATTTCGACCAATAGCGAATTGTATGAAGCGAATCAATTGGATGAAGTATGGTGTGTGCAAATGTGCCTCAAGTTTTATAACGCGCGTCATGTCGCTCTTACCAGTCAAAACTTCGTGATACGTGGTTTTTGAGAGCGAAGTTTTTTCGTGTGGAAGCCAGGGAGTTTCTTCGAAGTATAGACTTTGGTCTATTTATCGGTACTTGGAATATATATCAATATTCCAAGTAAATATTAAAATCAGCATAAACATTTAATAAATTAGCGGAACTTGACCATGGCAAAAATGGTCGCAGTTCTTGGTAATTCTCTGAGAGCTGTTGGTAATTCTCTGAGAGCTGTTCTGCTCAACTCAGTGTAAAGATGATCATCTGAAGCATGAGAAACTCATCGAATGCTACAAAACATAATAAATCTTTATCTCGCGGAATGGGCGCTTGTTAAAAAAGCGAAAATAGTTTTGTGACAACCTAATACAGTGCTGGACATAATTATACAGCCACTCTAGAAATCGTCGTAATTTTTGTTCTTGTCAATGAATCTGTCTGAAACTTTGATGTATTGTGCGCATGTCAACCTACCATGACCCCTCAAACGGCTTCCAGTCTTGTTGAGTTTGAACGGAGAAAAACGAAAAAAATCGAAAAAGCCCTCTTTGAAAGCTGGACAAAATTATACAGCCACCTGGTTTTTCTAATCACTATCGCATTCGCTGACTCTCAAATTTTTTTTGTACAATTACATCCTAAAATATGAAACATTTGCAACATCTGCGACCTGTTCTCCTTTTCACAGAAAAAAGTTCACTGCATTTCTTGCTTTTAAAAGCATTAAAAGTCAATCTCCTTCAACAAACAACTGCTTTAAAGAGTTTTGAAGCTCTTGTTCATTCCAAATGATAACCATGGAATCTACTGACCCTTCTGGATAGATGAGGTGAAGAGCGCTTTCGTAAACTCTGCGTAATCGCTGATTTTGACGAACAGACTCCAACCTCACCAGAGGGTTGACGCACTTTTGCACCACGAAACTCGATTTTCAAGCGACAGAAAATACTGTAATGTAGCCATTACGACAGCCATAAAACAGTGAACTCGTGTGCATGACTGGGAAGAAATTTCGGGACTGAGCACTCTGATTCAGCCGCAGTTGACATTCACTGAATGTTGAGTGGAGCACCCTGTACAATCAAAACCAACTCAGATCACGAGATAAAACCGGAGACGCTTAAAACTTTAAAATCTTAGCTAATCTCATTCATCGGGTGAAATATGACATAGAACACAGACGGAAATAAGGAGATCTAGGGTTATATCGACTATTCCGCTCGCAGGGAATTTTTGTGGAAAGTATTCCAGGTCTAAATCGCTGCCGCATCATTAGGAAAAATCTGAAAGTTGTTGCGAAAGCTGTATCCCCATGTAGACAATGTGATAAATCAAGTTCAGCACTTTGTGGGCATTGCAAACTGAGTTTTGTGGTTTAAAAACGTTCCAAGCCTATGTTGAGGTTGGAGTCTGTCCGTCAAAATCAGCGATTACGCAGAGTTTACGAAAGCGCTCTTCACCTCATCTATCCAGAAGGGTCAGATTCCATGATTATCATTTGGAATGAACAAGAGCTTGAAAACTCTTTAAAGCAGTTGTTTGTTGAAGGAGATTGACTTTTAATGCTTTTAAAAGCAAGAAATGCAGTGAACTTTTTTCTGTGAAAAGGAGAACAGGTCGCAGATGTTGCAAATGTTTCATATTTTAGGATGTAATTGTACAAAAAAATTTGAGAGTCAGCGAATGCGATAGTGATTAGAAAAACCAGGTGGCTGTATAATTTTGTCCAGCTTTCAAAGAGGGCTTTTTCGATTTTTTTCGTTTTTCTCCGTTCAAACTCAACAAGACTGGAAGCCGTTTTGAGGAGTTATGGTAGGTTGACATGCGCACAATACAGCAAAGTTTCGGACAGATTCATTGACAAGAACAAAAAATACGACGATTTAGGATTATTAGGAGGATTATTTTCGGCTAGCTAGCGGCACTCTGCGATTTTCTGGCACTAAACTCAAAATTGCAAATTTTGAAGTCCCATATTTGAGAGCTTCGTTCTCGGGGGCTAGCTAATGAAATCTTGCGCTTAAACATCCATCATGGAGCGCAGGCCTTCTAATATTTTTAGCATACAAGATTGTGAATTTAGGTTTAGTCATTGAAAAGTTATTGAATTTTGTTTGAATTACGCAAGAACTTTCGAGCCAACCTAATATAATGTCCACGAGTTTCCAAACCAAACAGGATTCTAACCCGTTTTGATAACTATTTACGTAATTTAATATGCTGAACCACTCGTCGACTTTTGGTTTGCATATTTGAACATAATTTTTTCGAATATTTTAATGTAAGCGTAATGTTACTGGATTAGTGTATCACTTGTATTGTGTTTACTGTCGACTTGTTACTTGTAATCTAGTAGTTCGAGTAAGTTTTCCATAAATTAGCGTCTTCTTCCAGCAACGAAAGCACTATGGCTTCTAATGTGATAGCGATTGTTACTGCGAGATCGCAAACGATTTCTATCTGGAAAGTATTTGTTCGTAATTTATTCAATACAAGTCACCCAGAAGAAACCTAGAAACTTACTCCATGAAATGTTGCGGCTCCTACTTCTTCCTCGGAATCCTCTGTTTCTGCTCACTGACCTTCCTCTGCGTGTTCCATCAGGCTCAAACAAATCCCTTGATACGCTTGCTGATCGTGCCCTTCTCGCTTCTGCGGTAGCCATTCTAGCAAGTGCATCAGCCTAAGGAGCTCGGTTTTGAACATTTTATAGTTTTTGTACAAGAAGTTACAGTTGAGCTAACCTGCTCATTTCCAGGATCACCATCATGTGCATACACATGCTGGAATTGCACTCCTTTTGGAAATTTTGCGGCTAAGCTCCTAACTTTTTCCATTTCTTCGCCAAACCTTGACAAAACTTTGAGCACTCATAAGTCAAAGAGTATTACTAAAGTAAACTTCCGTACCTCCCATCACTGGCTCCTCCACTCATAGCGGTAACCAAAGGAAGAAAGTCTGTACGCAAAATCACCGCCTCGTTTCTAAAGGGTGTCTATCTCATCAAAAGTAGATGAAAAGCAACACTGACCTGTAGCCCCGCCAGTTTCGCAGAGAGCGTAAAGCTGTTTGTGCTCCTAAAATTTCTGCTAGACCACTGTTATGAATGGGTCCAATAATACGTTCAGATCTGAAATGGTTTATTAGGTTGAGAAGGTTGAGGGTATGGTGCGAAAGTATTGCAAAGTAATTCTCAACACTCAAGGTATAGGCTGCTGCGTGACGAAGGCGCAATATCCTTGGACGCGAGCGCAGCCTTATTAACCGCTGGGCGCATAAAGGGCCGGGCATACTTCACGCGATTTCAGTTGCGACGCGATTTGGCAATATTCCAACTGTTCATAACTCACTGTAGACACATTTCAAATGTACAGAAGATAGGACACTTTATCAATTCACGTAAGTTATACACACTGTGCATGTGCAATTTGCAATGTTGAATTTGAAGACTTCTGGCGAATTGCCAAATCGCGTCGCGACTGAAATCGCATGAAGTATGCCCGGCCCTTAAAGGCAGTGTCCCACCAAACTGGGGTATCTGGCTCCCGTAGTCATGTAATAGTAGGCCCCCTACCTAATCGATGTCTGAAGTTCGGAGCGAAAAAGGGGGGTCTACCAAGCCTAAAATTTGTTCCGAAAGTGGGCCGAATCTTACGGTAGGGCCGAATGCCGCCCACACAGCAATATCGATTGCAGGGCCAGAGTGCGTATAGCGCACACAGTCATGAGCGCAGGGACCCGCAACAACTCTGCGTCTCTACCTTGCATCCACCTCGTAATCGCCCTAGCCCTACCGTAAGATTCGGCCCCCTTTCGGAGCAAATTTTAAGCTTGGGACCCCCTTTTTCGCTCCGAATTTCAGACATCGATTAGGTAGGGGGTCTACTATTACACGACTACGGGAGCTAGATACCCCCAGTCTGGTGGGACGCTGCCTTTAAGGTGTAAGATTTACAACCGTGAAAATACTCGAGATTCGCGTTCGCCACAACTAAGACTGCTTCTGCGCTTTCGTCATGCATAGCCTTTATCTAGAAGGATCCACTTAGGTGAATATTTTCTCTGACTCAAAAAACATTTTATGGAACGCACCCTTCGATCGGAACTCATAAAAGCAGTAAAATGTCAACCAACCTATTGAGCTCATGGTTTGGCCCAAAATAAACACCAAAGCCGGATGCTCTGTTGTCAATACATGACCCATCTGTGTATACCTCAAATCTCATTTAATCAGTTCTATTGGAAACGGCTTTTAATCTATATGCAGTTTTTCGGAGCGAAAGTTTAAAACAGACTACCTACCACTATTGTTCCCTCAGGAAAACGCTTATTCCATTCCATATTAGGGCTTTTATCACGTTTGAGTTCGGCAAACTCGTGGTCATAATTCAGGAAAACTGGATCTTTGTTCTGCTTCACGCTGACGGTGGTCTAAGTTAATTGTGGTCTCTCTAAGCGCAATTATGCATTGTCATAAACATGTTATATCCTTACAAGAAATTTACTACTACATTCTAGTCCGTCAGATTATTACGGTTATGCCTACTACATACTGAAAACTACTCACAAATTCTTGTGGCCCAAACCGCGTGCCCAAATTTCTATCTGTTTGGAATGCTTCCCAGCGACTCTGACGTTGAGCAGATCCTGAAGGCACTCGCAAGTGGAATGCACAATCGAAATAACAATGACTCACGATAAGCAGCTAATGTGTTAGTGTATGGAGTTGGTCTGTCACGAAAATGCTGTGGGGAATGATTTACAATACCTTTGGAACATATGAGGATTTGTTAGCGATGGAGGTCCATTTTAAGGATTTATTCATCAACTGGAGAATGACTTGAGAGGCAAATTGTCAAAACGTAAGTTCAGCCTGACATGTTAGGCCTCGGGCAGAGTTCAAGCGATTTGGTCGTCGAGATTGATCGCGACAACCAACTGTAACAATATCATTGCATGTCGATCTTCTTGCATTTCGGCTGTGATAGTTTTCCAATACGACTAATCGTGACTAACTATTAACAAGGGAACCGTGTCGAGTCGAAGTGGCCTTTCCAGATGAGACCCATACTGCTTTGAAGAGCATTAATCGGTGATTCCAAATTTGCCAAGCGCCTCTGGACGCCGAGTTATGCTCGTTTTTCAGGTCAAAAAATTGAACGCAAAATTGAAGCAAAATCGCCCAGATTTGCTGAAATGGTCCAGTGTCAAGTATCAGAGCTGTTAATGCAATGAATACACTTTATTTATTATGCTAATACTTAACGTTGCTTTATCTGAGCGCGGGAAAGATTGTAACAATCAATTTTACATAAATTCTGCATTCATTTTTCGTTCCGAAGAACGGTCATAACTCGGCGTCCAGAGGCGCTTGGCAGATTTGGAAGGCAGATTTGGAATCACCGCTTAAAGGCACCGTCTACCCAGATTTTCGACTTCCACGTTTTTGTCGTTTCGGGGCCTTCTCATGCCCCTGATTCCGAATATGAAGTCGAGAATGCTCGAAAACCCCGAAAATCCCCGTTCCGAAGAATCCACAGGCCGGCTTCCCGGAACGGTGATTGGATGGACGTGCACAAATGGGCGGGCGTGGTTGGGGAGGGGCGGGCATGGATGGGGGTCCTCGTGCATCTTCGCTATTCCGAAGCGATTTTCTCGATTAAGAAGCGGCATTTTGCGCCGCGACTTGGGCATTGGCTTTATAGGAGGCCCTACTATTATATGCTGCCAAAAGCTCAACACCCTCGACTTAGGGTGGACGGTGCCTTTAATACTCTTCAAAGCAGTATGGGTCTCATCTGGAAAGGCCACTTCGACTCGACACGGTTCCCTTGTAGGTATCACAACCGAAATACAAGAAGATCGGCATGCAGTGAACTCGTAACACTTGTCTTGTAGCGATTAAATTGCGACGATCAAATTGCGTGAACTCTGCCCGAGGCCTTAAAGGCCGAGCATACATCACGCGATTTCATCGCCTCGCGATTCTTCCAACCAGACAACTGTAACAAGTCCACTGCATGGCGATCATCTTGCATCTCGGCTGTGATAGTTTTTCGACTAGTCGTTTCGGAAAACTATCACAATGAAAGCGCAAAATGATCGGCACGCATTGAACTCATAACAGTTGTCGTGTTGGAAGAATCGCGAGGCGATGAAATAACCTGATGTATGCCCGTTAGGCCTAAGGCATACCTTGCGCGATTCCGGTCGCTGCGCGATCTAGCGTAACAGCGACTCTTCGTAATTCGTCGTTAATGTCTTTGGTCAGAACTTGCTCCTTTTGCAACAACTTACACAAGCTACCCAAATATGCATCCGAGAAGCGCGCACGATGAATTTGTAGAAATCTGGCAAATCGCCAAGTCGCGTGAAAGTGGCGATTCGGCCGAATCCCGTGAGGTATGCCTTAGGCCTTAGTGATGGGTGTGAGCATTAAGAATGTCATGTACCTGTTCCACTGCTACCACTGTTTGTTCCGAAACTCTCACTCGTACTGGAGGGAATAATGCTATTCGAGTCGCGGGTTTCTCGATTGCTATCCATAGTTTCTGATGAGGATATTCCAGCAGTGGAAGACGCATTCTGACTTCTAGATGCATCGAGTAGAATAGATTTTCGTGTATAACCATCATCCATGGAGCTTTGCGCGCTATACAGTTCAATATCATGACGTCTTGCCAGCGGTTAGTCTCATATCTACCCAAAATCACTGCTTTCGATTTCGTCTAATGATGAGCTTCTTTCAGTTCTTGATCCATTTTTGTGTACAGATCCATCTGTCTGCAAAATAGGGTACGGATGCAAAGAAAGTCGCATCACCTACTAGGTTAAGTACCCATTACCTGTGATGAGTTGCTGGACTCCCATGAACGCGGCGGTGGAGTAACCGAAGGCGACGAACGCCCGGCTGTGGCGCGCAGGGTTAGTGTCCTCTGAAGTTTTTTCAACTTTTGAGACCTGTCTGATTGTGTGATAAAAACTACTCTTACGTTGTTAGCACAAGCAGCATGACTGTTAATACGGTGGTATGCTGTCGGCCTTGCAATGGTAGCTGTACGAAAATATGTGGGCTCTGAATTTTTTGCAGTAGGCCGTACCGGGTCCAGCAGTCGCCAAGGAACGAAGCAGATTCAATCTCTGCAGTGATGAACCATTTCTAGCGACAGCATTCCACATAGAGTTAGTAAGAAATGAGATTGTCGTTAGCGAATCTAGTTTTATAAAGAGTGATAAGAGATACTTTGGTGATTGATTTTTTAGATCGCCCTGTAATCCTTCTCTGAATCTCGACTTGTAAGTGCGAAAACACCTTTGGTAATACTGCTTGCTCTTTGCTGACGTGATATACATTCGAGCATTGTTCAAGTCAGTACTATTAGGATGAACAAGTAAAAGAACAGCTTGATTTTGGTCTCATTCTGAGGTTTTATGTGTCGAATAACCAATCAGGCTGCAACTCAAACTTCACTTGATAAAGATCTTCCTTGTGTTGTCAAGAAAGTGATGTCGTATTTTATTTGCTTGCTTTAGCAAAGCAATCAGGCTCAACCCAAGAAAAGGTTGGGGGTACTGTCCTATAGAGCAAGCTCTACAAGCTGGCATTTATAATATCGCGCCAAGTTTGATTAACGGAAAGTTTGGGCTTAAGAACTTAAGAGCTCTAAATGCCTCAAAAATCGAAAGAAAATCGGATTCTGAGGATTTCCCACTTCCATACATTTATACCCTCGATATCAGACATTCATGAACATATGAACATTTTGAACATCTCTATCTTCCACTTTACATCATAACCTCACAGAGCAAATGACATACCATTCCGAGCTCGTCACGCACTTATAACTGAGTTTAATAGCTACGCGGAAGTTCCTTTCATTTCCAAATAAAAAGTAAAAACTTGAAAACAATATTATTGTAATAAAACAGAAGATCATGTTTTCGCCTATATTTTCACAAGACTGATGAAAGTGAGGTAAATTACACATACATGGAAAAGAGTGAGCTCTCTTTAGTGGTATTACAAAACTGTCCCTTTACTTGCTGAGAAGGAAATACGCTTTCGAAACTGCTAATGACGATATTCTCCTAATTTCCAGTGCTGATACAAGCGAGCCATCGTAGCTTTGTGAATGTCACAATGCGCAGCAGTGATACTGGGCTCCTAAATTGCAGAGTCGTTTGCACCAGCGGTAGCGCGACCGCGTCGCCGAGCATTTTGCCGGCGCCGGCGCCATCGATCGAGGCGGCGCCCTTGATGCCCGGGCGTGACGCGGTCGCGCGACCGCTGGTGCAAACGATTCTGCAATTTAGGAGCCCTATACTTTGAATAGTCTCACTGTTTCACTGCGCAGATACTGCTTGAAGTCCGTAGTTACAAGTAATTGACTCTGCATTTCAGCAGTTATAATTATCGAACATGTAATTGACTATAGGTTTGGCTGACGAGAATGATTTGGACTAACATCTTTTATAGTTGAAGCACTAATCATATCTCTACCTTGAGAAAACTACAGTTGCTTTTCAACTCCATTACTTTCCGTTCCTCAACATATTTTATGGACAAAGGTAGTAACTCAGACAAATTACCGGAACTTCCGCAAAGCGTTTGCGGAAGTTCCGCCGGGTCACCTGCGGAAGTTCCGAAAACGTGCTGCGGAAGTTCCGTAAACGTCTTGCGGAAGTTCCGAAATGAGGTCACGCGGAAGTTCCGTAGATTGCCAACCACTCCGCTGGTTCCTTCTCAGGATTTCATTTTCCTTACTTCCTTACTTCCCTTTCTTCATCATACTTTCTTTTTTTTCGGGTTCACTACATTTGAAGATAAAATAAAATACGCACTAGGCCTAGTATATGTTTTATTTTAATCATAGCATAATATCATCGTTGGCTTTGCACCAAATACATTAAAGACACGGCTCAAAAAAGCGGAAAAACATAAAAAAAACGGCTCAAAAGAAGGCGGAAAATTGCATTACAGAAAAGATGTGCAACGAGGGTGAACATTTCAAAAGAAAGTCGCGCATTTCCATTCTGCTTTGCTCATCATATTCTTGTCTTCGCGAGTGAAGCCGATTTCTCCTTCCTTGTTTTTCTGTAATAAAAATGTAAGGCTGTGATTATTTTTGATGCAATAATCACCTTAGGTGTATTGAGATGGCCGTCATGCAGTGTGTAGTAACGAACGTCTTCACTGAAAACCACTACATAATTTTTGAATAAACATTCCCATAACAAAAAAGACGCTCACAGCGCTTCTGCTATGCACGTTTGCGTTTGCCTACTCCAAAACGCCTTTTTTTTCTAATAAATTCAAAAATTTCTTCTCCCTTTCTTCCTCATTTCCGCCAAGAGACAACCAGAAGCTAAAAATTGCCGGTTGAACGACGAACATCTCAGAAGCCTTGGCGTACTTATTTCTCGATCCTTTCAATGAGTTAAGCCTAGCACCGTGTAGCTCAATATTTTCCAAATCTATAGCGTCCAGTATAAAATGAAGATATTCTTATAAACGTCCGTCTCCCGCTGTCTGTGTGCCGGATAATGGCCTCAATCACTGACTCCTCGATATTGATTAGTTCTGATTTGCGCGCTACTCTGGAGACTCGGTAGGCGTACTTCCATATATCAGATGGATCAGGGGTACAGGCCTTAACGAAATATTCTGGATGGTGCTACCTCTTGAAAAATCAACCACTGACCTGTTTGAAATAGTGCCTCTAGAAGTCTACGATTCGCAACATGGTGTTGTTTTTTTCCTTGTCGGAGTCGGATAAGTTCTGAGAAGCTCATTCAAGTTCATCTCCTATGAACAACTTCATTTTGGCATCATTATCTTAATCATTTTTACCTGAAAGGGACTCTTTAAGCTATGATGTGGTCTTTTCTTAAATTTTTACACTTAAAACTTATCCCTGTGGTTTTAGGGACAGGACGCTTGTTGCTGCTTTGCCTCAGCCTATTACCTCCTCTTCTAAGTCCCTAATTTTCGTTAGCAATAAGTTCTGCTAGAACCTAGTTTTTTTCCTCCAACCCACTAGCGGGTATAAAGCGAGAGGCACTTTCCAAAGTTGGGCTTACCTCTTCACCTACTTATTTCTCTACACTCTGAATGTCAAAGTAAGTACGAAGATTCTGCAGAGAGATTTGGTTACATAGGTAGCATGATGCACCAATACACCAACTCAGCTGATTATTGTAGGAGTTAATCGTAAGCGGATGTAGATTTTTTTGTTGCTGTGTTAATCTTGTGTTTTGGTTACGATTTTGCTTTTCTCAAGAGGTTCTTTTTTATAATGGACAAATGTCTCGAATGTTATTAGTGATGAGCGCTTTCTACAGCTTTCTACCCCAGGCACAGCAAAATACCCACCGAAGTGCTGCTCATATTTTCCTCCTCAAATTCAGCCCTTTCGCTTCCAGAGGTGCGATAGGTGGAGCCGGGCCCCCTAAAAGTGAAGGTGGTTCCAGTTACCACTGGCCGACCAAAAGTGAAGGTGGTAGTGCCGGACACTCACCTCCCAAAAACATTGACCGGGGGGGGGGGGGGGGTAGAGAGGGAGGGAGTGGCATAGGACGGACTTTAAGTTTGGGTTTTTTGGGTTGGTTTGGGTTTCTGGTTTGGGTTATTTCGGACTTTTGGGTTTTGATTTTTTTGCTGAAACTTAAAAAAAGGAAATCAAGCAAAACGAACGCAAGAAAGTATTGAGAGCATATTCTATGTTGTTTACTTTTAGGAAGTCGCCGTCGCCCACTGCGATCACCTGAACGCCATCACCGACATGGACGCATATACGCCTCAGCACTTCCTACGATAGTGCAAAGCTTCATGATGACTTCGGATACTGAAGAGCTCTAACCCGACGGTCCTCTTTAGGGCCACAAATACGATGAGTACAACTGCATAAATATCATCATGACTTATAATAACGGGCTAAGGATGTTTACGTGACTTTGTCTGTGTGTGTGTCTGTTACGGAATTCGTGGAGCGTGTTCCAGCCAGCGTTCTAAGCCCAAATTTTGTATAGTGCATGCTACCTTCATGAAAGTCCAACATGCAAAAGCACGAGTAGATTCGTTGAGTGGATCCCTCAAAAATTGCGTGCCAAACGGGTCCACCTGGCTTCTGTACCGCAAAATTCGGTCCGTATCACTACTTTTTGCAGAGTCGTGGATGAGTTTGGTAAGCAAATGTGCAAGCGATGGAGTTTAGCCAGAAAAGTGATCGAAAGTTTACTACATAACGAAAACGGCGCCAAAACGAATTGGTTGTGTAAATGGTCAATTGGCCAAGGTTCTAGCTAAGCGTTTGAGAAGATTTTCGCACATAGATGTAGCTCACGGTTATTATTACCTTTATGGCGACTACCAAGTCATGACAAATCCAAAAACCTATAATTTGCGTTTGTCTTCCTGCGAAAAGTTTCATCCACGCGAAATCACCGATCTCACGTGAAAAGACTTTCTAAATGAGTGGTTGTTTACATTTTATTCGTGGTAGTCGGCATAGCGTGGTGAGTTCCAGTGCCACGATTTTACGAGAATGAGTAAGGCACATAGATAGTAGAGCCAGTGCGAACCTCTGCGAAGCAGAGGTGACGCACTGGTAACTTATAATAACGGGCTAAGGATGTTTACGTGTTTTTGTGTGTGTGTAAGTCTGTCTGTCTGTCACGAGATTTAGAACGTGTTCCAGCCAACCTCCTGAGCCCAAATTTTGCACAGCGCCTGCTACCAACATGAGAGTCTAATATACAAAAGCACGAGCGGATCCGTTGTGTGGATCCCTCAAAAAACGTGCGTCAACCTGATCCACTTGGCTTTTGGCTAGTAAAATTGAGTCTGTAGCGCAACTATTTGCAAATTCACGGATATGTTTGACAAGTCAAGTTAATGTGCAAGCCAGGGACTTTAGCCAAAAAATCAAACTAAAGTCATTACTTTGCGAAAACGACGCCAAAAAGGATTGGTTGCGTAAATGTTCAATTTGCCATGATTTACGTTTGTTTCCCGATCATTTGAGAAGAGCACAGATATGTAGCCCACAGTGATTATGGCATCTTATGGCGACTATCAAGCCATGAAAAGTCCAAAAACCGATTCAAATTTGCATTTGTTCTTCCGAGAAAAGTTTCGTTCATGCGAAATTACCGATCTCCTTTGGAAAAGCTTTTGGATTGAATAGTTGTTTACAAATCATTCGATAGTCCGCATAGCACGGTGAGTTCCAATGTCATTATTGTGCGAGAATGAGTAAGGCATACAGACAGTAGGGCCAGTGTGAGCCTCTGCGAAGCAGAGGTGAGGAACTGGTTCTAAATAAAGGTGTTTATGAAATAGTGTATTTGTGAGCGATACTCAGTTATACTTTGTGTGTTTCATCAAGTACATTTTGTTATGACGTACTGCGAAAAAAGTAGGTCGATCCAGGCAGTAACCGCCGAGAACCAGAATTTCGAATGATAAAATAATGAAAAATCGTGAAAAATCATTCCACTGTTACAAATCTGCTGGCTGAAGACCTCCGCAGTTGCGACTTCATAGGTTTCAAAGGGTAAGTGTTGTTCTACCAGACAGTGAAAAAATCAGTTTGATTTGAGGAGTGGCCGCCGAGAACGAGAATTTTGAAAAACCTTAAAAATCTTCTCAATTTTAGGTTGCTTAATGACAACTGACATTTAAACTCTTATAAATCCGGACTTCGAAGGTGTTTGATGTTGCACTTCATAGGTTTTGTAGGGTAAGGTTTGCCCTATCAGATGTCTTAGCTTTACCGATCCATTGAAACATCGCCGAGATCCAGCTCTTAAAAAAGCATGTAAAAAACCGTTTTTCAGCTCATAACTTCTTCAGAATTGCATAATTCATGTTGCGAATTCATAGGTTGGATTCTCCTCATCAAAAGCTTTCAAAAGATATATAATATGTGGGGGATTCAATGTTTCTTGTGGCTCTAACCCGGGGTGGAGTACTCCTTTTCACTAATTCTCCACCCGCCCATTTCAATGTATTGGCGGGAGGCCGCCAGTGGAGAATTAGCGAAGAGAGGTACTCCACCCGGGCATATGCCGTGGGAGGCGTGAATCCCCCACATATTATATATCAATTGAAAGCTCTTGATGAGGAGACAACCTGTGAAGTCGCAACATGAATTATGCAATTCTGAAGAAGTTATAAGCTGAAAAACGGTTTTTTACATGCTTTTTTAAGAGCTGGATCTCGGCGATGTTTCAATGGATCGGTAAAGCTAAGACCTCTGATAGGGCAAACCTTACCCTACAAAACCTATGAAGTCTCAACATCACACACCTTCGAAGTCCGGATTTATAAGAGTTTAAATGTCAGTTGTCATTAAGCAACCTAAAATTGAGAAGATTTTTAAGGTTTTTCAAAATTCTCGTTCTCGGCGGCCACTCCTCAAATCAAACTGATTCTTTCACTGTCTGGTAGAACAACACTTACCCTTCAAAACCTATGAAGTCGCAACTGCGGAGGTCTCCAGCCAGCAGATTTGTAACAGTGGAATGATTTTTCACGATTTTTCATTATTTTATCATTCGAAATTTTGGTTCTCGGCGGTTATTGCCTGGATCGACCTACTACATAGATATATGCTCTTAATACTTTCTTTTACATTTCTTTTGCTTATTTTCCTTCTTTTGAGCTTTAGCAAAAAAAAATTTCAAACCCAAAAGTGAAGGTGGTCACCCTGTACCAGCTCAAAAGTGAAGGTAGGCGGAGAATCGGCTCCGACTATCGCCCCTCTGAGTCGCTTCGCCTCCGGTGACGGTTACGTTGCATCTTGCACTTAAATTTGCGATATTCAGAACACTGAAAGTTTACATAATTCATCAACTTAAGATCTTGCTATTGAAAGAGATTCTGCTGTTTGATTCAGTGATTTTTTTAAAGTCTAAAGACCTTGCAAATATTAGCTTTCTTTTGTAAGAAAGCTCGCCATCTGAACTTGTTTGCACAAATGAGTTCGAGACGTGATTGCTCGTCTTGCGGCATGACAACAATCATAAGTCACAAAATTTATTTGAAGTACCAACTTCGCCAAGTTTCATTCAAATTGGTTTTGTAGTTTTGGAACATTTCGCCAAGCATACAACCATGTTTCTGACATAAATGTAGTGTATGTTAGAAACGTCGTTTTTTGGAAAGCATATCTCAAATTTGACATATTAAATTGTTCTGAAAGTTCCTTCCGCTTTTTCAACTTATCATAAAGATACTAGTAATAAGTAAGAAGAAGGAGTAATGATGATACTTTGAAGACTGTTAGATGTAGTTTTTCTTCCTCTTTTTAACAGTCAAGTTCACAAAGCATTGACTTATGTGGCCCTAAAAAAATTGCCAAGATTTCGAATCGATGGTTTTTATGTTTCTGGTTGACAATAATTAAAAATTTCCGGTTTCAGCTTCTGGAAGAATTGTCATAACAGGTAGCTAGAGTAAACAAAGCAAAACAGTTTTTCTAAACTTCCTCAATTAGATTTGCAGTACTTTTCAAGACGATCTTTTCGAAAGTCTTCAATTTTGCAAAACAATAAACAAAAAATACGAGCATTAAACGCTACGTTATAAGGGATAGGTCTCGAAACAGTAGAGGCTCACCTATCCTTCGAACGATGGTAGATAGAAATGATGTGCTTGATATCATTAGAGCTTATCACTTCGAGCTTATCATACTCTCAGTATCGTTGCTTGCAAACATCGCCCACGTGGCTTCCACATTATTACTGAAAGGGTAGAGGCATCAAATTTGAACGGTCAACGAGACTGGTTAACATTTTTGAGGCATAATTTTTTACTGGAGAATATTTTATCACAAATGAGGTACACGATAAGTAGACGCTTCAGAAGCAATTAGATATCAGACGTCTATTGAGCGTTTCTAAACCCGTTGGGTTACACAGACTAGCACTTTGCCGGAAACAGCGTCTCTCGAAGAAGCATCCATGCAGCTTCAGTTCGTGCTATAGTGTATACAGTATACAGTACAATATATATGTATACTCTTTGGTTGTTATAAGTTAAATCAGACACTGCAACCAATTTACTATCACATACCGCATCTCTATTTCATAAGCACTTTTGCAGGATCAGCAGACGAAGAGCAAAAAAAGTTTAGGCTTTGCGAGAATACCCTAAATTGATACTTCGCTTACATTCTTGATGAAGAACTGTTGCAATTCCTTCAGTAATTTATCCGGAAATCAAAAATTCAATATTCAGTCAGAAACCAAATATCACTTTTCGCAGTGGATAGATCGTCCCTATTGCGAAACTAGTGCATCTATTTTTCAGTTTGCTTTGCAGCAGTTTTCAACTGAGTGGCGAAAAAATATCGGATCTAAAGCAGTCCGAGGCCAAATTCTCTATTCCGGGAAAGAATGAAATAAGCATTACGGAAATTTCCAAGGTGATTTCATTTAAGAATCAATGATGATATTCTTGCACTTTGTTTATCCACACAACGTCGTAATGACATGCTTCATTCAACAGCGAGCAATCCTCTTGCAAGTAATTTATAATTCCGTCAGAGGTTTGTTGATAGCCTTCTATCTTCTGCTTGTCCTGGTGGGCATCCGGGTTTTTGACCTAAAGTTCATTATAAATCTATGGACAACGCATAACACTTTCACTAACCGATCACGCATTTACATAACGGCGGGGGTAATATTGACTTTTCGCAAAAAATCTGAAAATTTTAGATTGAAATTTAGATTCTTGCAGAATAAAAAAGTCTTTGAAGAGCTTCAGTAATCAGTATCCATAGATAGCAATTACAGCACCATTAAAAGTTCGAATACTTATCTCCTCAAGGTAAATACTTTGATCAAAACTGTTAATTTCGGGAGAATCCGGGTCGGTAGTAAACCTATCGAAACTCAGAGTTATAACTCAGAGTTAACTCTGAGTTATCTCTGAGCTAACGCGCAACTTTTTGACCCCCTTAACAGGTGTTTGAACAGATCAAATCCGGAAAGTGATGATATGGCAGGATTCTCCTTAACACGTAGTTTATTCCTAGTAGCGCAACATTGTCCAAATCGTCCTGCACAAGAAACAGCGCCACCAAACGCGCAACTAGTGTCTGCGATAACTCTGAGTTTGGTGCGAGTTCCAGTCTATCGTGGAACTCAGAGATAACTCTGAGTTTGGTCAGAGAAAGAGAAATAGTGCGCAAAAGAAGAGGGGCAGCTAAAAAGTCCTCCGGGGTGCATTTTGCTCGTAGTTTAAGCAGGCATGATGGGGGTATCGTGGTGCGCAGTGATTTACAAAATTTTGAAATTTTGTAAAAACTTGGCCCAGGGGGTTATTCGGTGCGCTGGTCACGCATATGGTACCCATTTTTCACTATGGGGTCATGTAGAGGTGTTACGGTAGGTTTACGGTAGATGGAAGAAAATCACGAAACTGATCGAAACTTGGTACACTGGGGTTATTCGGGGCGCCGATAACGAATATGACATGCAGATTGTACTGTGGTGTCATCTGACGAGGTTACGGTAGGTTTACTGTAGATAGGAGAAAATCACGAAACTGATCGAAACTTGGTACACTGGGGTTTTTCGGGATGAAGATTACGGACAATCTATCTGCTACATACACTGGTGACATATGGAACGGTTACGGTAGGTATACGGTAAGTAAGATGAAATCATGGAAGGGTAAACTTTGCCCGGAGGATTTATTCTGTGCGCAAATCCTAATAGTCAATTCTTATCATTGCGTATGCTATCCGTTTTCTCTATTGTTTGAAGCTTTCAGCTGCGCAAAAGACCAATTCCTCGTGATGAACCATCATTGCCCGATAGAAATGGAAATGAGTGAGGCTTTGGTATAACTTGTTTTGACCTGCTAAGTGTTAATGGTATGAGTGAGTACATTATGGCAAAGCAATTTTAGGGTTCACGGTGTGTCATGGTCTAGTGGTAAAGCGATGGAATCTTTGCGCTAGACCATGCAAGTTTGAGTCCCAGCTTCAACATCGCTTTTGCAGCAAGGTGCGTAACATCGCTTCTCAAGCAAACTCCGAGCTTGAGAGTTGGAATTCGGAATTACGAAAACGGAACTCAGAGTTTCAATAAGCGTAACTCAGAGTTATAAAAACGGAACTCAGAGTTGTATCTGAGTTAACGCAGAGCTTTAAACTCGGAGTTTCGACCAGATTACTACCGACCCGGTAATTGTGAAAGCATTTGAAAATTGTCATTATTTTCAAATTTTGGTGGGTCTCTCGCTTTCCATTCTCTCCTTTCTCCACCTTCGAAAATTTTTTTTGCTAACGAGTGGCGATCAGTATGTGGAGTGAATAATGCATTTTTGGGCAAAGCCAATTTTCGCGCATCTGCTTCCGATCAAAAAGCAGTGTATCTGAATTTGAATTAGGAACTACAAGAAGATTTGAACGTAATGATCAATCAGTTTGATGATCTATCTATGTAATTTGCCCACCACCTTCTTTGTAGTATCAACTTGTTATTCTGTGCATTCACAATATTGCTAAATTTTCCTTCAGTTTCTATTTTTGCCTCTTTTTTTCGTGGGTGAGCATAAGAGAAACACATCAAAGTCCTGCGGAAGTTCTGGCATTCCAAAGTGCTGCGGAACCTCTGGCATTTTTCGGAGTTTCCGCAGGATTTTGAAGGAGGTCCTGCGGAAGTTCCGGTTTTCAACCAGTTTGGCATGAAAATCCCGCTGAAGTTCCGATTTTCAACGTTTTCATTTTTGCAATAGTGAACGAAGTCCTGCGGATCTGCAAATTTGGCTTGTCTTGCGGAAGTTCCGGTGATTTGTCTGAGAATGACTGCTCAAGAGATTTTATTCATGCATAAGAGGACCCCCTACTCTTATATGAAATGGTTTCAAATTACTCCGAGATTTGTTTCAGATAGGTAAGAGACCTCTTTGGCAAGCAAAACGACCCACTTTCATGTTCGGCGAGTTCCTCTGAAAACAAATAAAGCTCGTTGAAGCAAACGCGAAAAGCCACACTATGGGGAAACCAGCATTTGCTGTACAATAAGCCACTATGAACGCCATTAAAGTATCGCTATCTTCAGTATCTATCGATATTAATGTACCTATCTGTTGTTGATAGTTGGAATAATTTCAAGAAATTTTGAAGATCAAGTTTAGCCTTGCAGAGAAAAATTTTGGGAAGATCTTTTCGAAAAATTTCTTCTAAAATTTCTAGGTTTTAGGGCCACTGAAAAATCGGGAAGCATTCTAAAAAGTTTCTTGGAGGGATGGCTAAAGCCACGCCCTTTTGATTAGGAAAAATTCCCGTACCCTTGGCGAAACTTTTGGGACCGCCACTGTACTTTCCGCGCAAGTACAATAGAATGAAATATCTTGCTTTAAAGTCAGCCGAGATTGCCTTCAGGTTTCTCGTTTTGTAAAAGCGAACATTTTTCATAAAATCAGTGTCATAAGCTGAAACCTTTTGATTACAATATTTCTCCTCTTCTTGCAATTGTGTAGCTTCTTTTCTTTTGATGACGTAGCATTTACGGGCACGGATCGTCACTAGTTTTATCGATACAGCTTGATTGATCACCTTCAGAAAACCGTCAGCAGCATGGACGGGATTGTGAAACGTGCCAACTTTCTGACGTGTACCGTAAGTTTCTTTTCAATCTTTGCTCTATGAAGAAGTGAATTTCTCATCAAAGACTCTTTTGATAAAAATCGTTGGTTTTTGAAGTAGCATTTTTCGAGAAGTAAAGGAGAAAGAGAGTTATTTCTATTGACATAGTAGAAATTAGATATACCTAATCTTCATTTTTCTTCCTGTGAATCTCAAATGTCGTTTCGGTACATTTCAGATATGGAAGCCGAGACTATTTGCGTTGAAGCTTGGCTGTCCGAGAATAAAAAGGATTTTGCACCACCTGTATGCAATAAATGCATGTAAGTCTCAAGTATTTTTAGATAATGTTGAGTATGTATCCATATCCAGTATGTATCCACTGAAAAGTGTCTCTAGGTTTGCCAAGCAACTCAAGGTATTCTATGTAGGAGGACCAAATTCGCGCAGAGACTATCATCTGGAGGAGGGAGAAGAGGCTAGTGATTATGATGTTGAGGCTTAAAAAAATTGAGCTTATTATTGCAGTTTTTCTACCAAAAGCAAGGGGACATGGTGCTAAAAGTCATTGAACATGGACAGCCGCGCGATATTATCATTAAAGAAGGTCCACTAGAATTCTGAAAAAAACTTTCAATTAACTGTAACAAAATGCATTTCAGGAGAGATTTTCCTCTTACCATCGAGAGTGGAGCATTCGCCACAACGCTTTGAGAATACTATAGGATTTGTTGTCGAAAGAACGCGAGAAAACACTGAGTTTGACTGTGTAAGGTAAGGTTTCGATAGGGTGCAAAATAGACCTCTTATAAACACTACATGTTGCCCATGACCGTTGCCATATAACCCAAAACTTTTACAATAGCGCACTTCCTTTCAGGTACTTCGTTGAACCTTCTACTGAACGGTTATTTGAACGATGGTTTCATCTTCAAGATGTTGTCCGAGACTTGCCGCCACTGATCAAAGCTTTCCACGCATCTGAAGAGTTCAAGACAGGTCATTGTAGAATTTTGAACTTTAACCCATTGACGACGATGTGGACCAACGGTGGCCCACAGCCCTTGCAAAATCATATGCTTTCCAGGTCTAGTATTTACTCCACGTTTAATACTTCTTCTAGTTTTTTGGACTCTTGAAACCTGTAGACTTCGTCGTATAAGAAAGTGATTGTTGTGATTTGAAAAACAACTTTACATCTCGTGTATAACCACAAAACTTTCCCACGTCGAAAGTGTTGTGCAAAATCGCGTCGTCCCACAGCGCCGCCAAGCAAAATTAGGGGTCGTCTTTGATAGGTTAACTGAGTAAGCGCAAATTCAACTTGCTCTGAAAAAATTTTCACTTGTTGTTCTGGCGTCTATCTCCCAATATGAAGATTAAGAGTAATTATCTAAACCAGTGGAGCTCCAAGATTTCTTCCGCTCGCTGGAGGCAGGAGGACGAATTCTTTCCTCGGCTGAAGGCACGTGGCTTTAGCCACGCATTCCAAAAATTTCTGGGGGTTTCCAAACTTTTTGAGGGCCCATAACTCCGAAATCTTAAATGAAGGGCGTAATTTTACGAAGCTAGCTTGAGCTTTTAAAATTTTTCAGAAATCATTCTAATCATCTGTAGTATAAACAAGTCACTTGTACAATTCCATAACTCATGTAAGTAATTTGCAAAAACTTCGCGACCCATTCTCGGGGTGGGAGGGGGGGGGAGGGCTCGGTCCGCCGCTGCTAAGCATTGGTAATTTCTCTCAGCTTATAAATCGAAATATGTTGGATATCTTCATTGTCACTAGCAGTCACCGCCTGCAAAATAACCTTAATACAAAAATTCCTTGCAGTGTTTCCTGATAGACCCTACAAAGGAATAAATTCTGGGATTGTAACTTCTATTAAAATACTTTTTGACTGGCTTAACATTGAAAAACACCAAAATCAAAACACATCGTAGAGATTAAGTATACTGAATAATTCATCCTAAATGAATGTTGCTATTTGGTTTCTACATAGAAGATTATACAGTTTCTTTTGCCGTATAAAAAATAATTACGCGCGCTAAAGTGAGCGCGAGTTTTGATCTGGGTAAATGGTACAAGCAATCTGCGAAAATTTAGGCGCACCCGGAAAGAAAAGCTTCCTGGTTAATGCACCCTATGAGCCAATTCCTTTAAACCTCGTGGAACCAATCAATCTCAAACAGTTTATTGAATCCAACAAGGACCGACTAGGGTAATTTCTCTATCTAAAGTTACTGCGTAGAAAACCTAAATTTTCGCCAATTAAGAGTTGCACCTGTGCAGATTTATGGCGCTCCTAACTATTCTACACAAGTACTTTTGTACGGCGAAGGAAGGCACCTGATTGAGGCAAATGACTATGAGCTCCTTATATGGATTATGGTAAAGCATCCATTGTTCTCTGCAAATACCAGATCCAGTAGGATTTTTTGCAGAATGATTCCGAGGCAGTTCTGGAGCAGCCAAAAGGAATACGTACAATGCACTCACTATCGATGACAATTTGTCCACCACAAATAAAGTGAGTTTTTTTTTAAATTTAAGACATCTAGAAAAATCATGTTATTCAGTTGCTGCGTGGACGTACGAAAAGGTCAAGCGATTACGATTCAGATGATGCCGAAACTCTAACTCATGGCTGATAATTTATTGCTAAACTTGACATATTGACTAAAATAATAAATGCTTTGCAAAAGATTTGATTATTCAAAAATTAGAGCTTAATGTGAAAAGGATAGAAGAAGAGGTGTTGTTGTGAGGTATCGGTAAACTCAAAACTGTAGATGAAGCTTTCCATTTTTAGCTGAAACAACATCATCTTCATAGCCACAAGACATCACCAGGAATCTAAAGCTTCAATTTTAAAAACGTGAACTGAATCCCAGGATAAGGAAAGAACATCCTGGCTGACCGCCTAGTTCAGCTATCCTTGGTCACCACCGAAGAATTCGGAAAATGATAGACATTGATATGGTATACCTTCTAATCTCCTAATCTAATGGAAATCAAAATCCCGGAATCTTTGCACCCTAGGTCGTCCAGAAAATTCTGTCATTTCATTTTGAAAACTTGTAACTTTGCGCTATTTCAACAGAGTTGCATCTTCTTGATAATTTATCTGAAAAAATCAGACTTTCGCTTTTGAGGAATTTCTTAGGCATCTACTACACACTGAATGTGGAGAAGTATGGATCAAGAAGACCATATAAGCTTTGATCATTTTGAGTTAGGTCGCCATGAATCTGAAATGCTGAAAAAAATTTGAAATCGTCATTATATAAGTTTTTTGACCTACTCTATGCATAGGTGCAAAGTATTAATATAGAAGAGAACGCCAAAATTAATTAACTTGTCACTTTTCCCGAGTATGACGCTCACAGGGGCGTCAAATAGCACAAATTTTTCATAGTTGCGGGGAGAAGGTAAATTATGTACTAACGATTTCAGATTTTCCTATAGCGTTGCAGACTTTTGGCTTTCTAACGCAAAAGCTCAAAGGTCATATGGTTTGCTTAATCCATATCTATCTCTGCATTCAGGTCTAGTAGATGTTACCAAGAAAGTACTTGAGCAAAGTCTTATTTTTCAAATAAAATTACGTGCATACAAATCCATTGAGGTAGCGCAAAGTTATAAACTTTCAAAATGAAACTACAGAACTTTCAGGATGACCTAATACAACGAGCATTATATTCTATTAGGTTGGTGCAAAAGTAATGCGCGTTTTGCGAGTTCTCACTTTGGAGTGCTATAACTTTCTAAAAAATCCATATTTCTCAGTGCGGCAAAGTCCATCAGAGGCGTCAATCCTCTCTCTATACAGCGCACATTAACTTATGCTAACAACGCAAAACGGTGGAAAAATATGGATTAATAAGCAAAAAAATTTTTTTCGGAAACCTCGTTTTCAACTGATCATAACTTCCTTCAAGATTTGTCGGTATAAATGAAAAGTCGACTATCTTGTAGCCGTAAGCCAGTAGTACAAAAAAAAGTTGAAAGGGGCTCAAACAAAGAAGACTTGCGAAAAGGAAAAAATAATATTCAAAATTGTCCGCTTTTTTCGACATTTTTTCGTAGGCCTCAAAATCCTGGAGATTTTTGATTTTCTGTGAACTGAACAGTTTCCACATTTCTGCAAAAACTGTCAACAAAAGGCCCACCCTCACGCTTATAGAAATGAGCGAAGCTTTGGTGATTGCCCTCTTAAAGGCAGTGTCTCACCAAAGTTGAGGTCGCGCGGATTTTCGCATATTCTATTATAGGGACCTCTAAATAGGCCATCAACAAGTCCCACTCAATTTGACCCCCTCCACGCTGAGAAAAATTCGCTCAAAGTGGTACGCGGAGAGCGAGTTGATACGCGCGGACGACTCCTTCGGTCTCCCCCCTTACGCGTTTGAACATGTCCCTCCACTTGGCATCCACCTCCCCTCTGTTGCTGCCACTGTGGCTGAGGCTGAGGTTGGAAGGTAAACTCGTCCACGTTGCTTCCGCGGGGCCTCTAGAAAACGGGGTTTTTAGGAACTTCTTGCGATTTAGGCCCATACAGTGCTAGACAGGGTCCGACAGGCTTGCAAAATGCAAAAAACTCGGCAACTTAATTTTGGTGAGACACTGCCTTTAAGGGGAAATTTATGGGCCACAGAATGGTCAAAACCATCACTCATGTTGAGGCGCCGAATTTCAGTCTAAATAATTTCTGAGAAAACAATAAAGGATACATAACGTAGAAAATTTCTACTTAGTTAAATTTTCAAGAGAATGCGTTTACTCGCGCTCAACTTCTGGCCAAAAAAGTAAGTGCAATGAAATTTTGGTTTCGAGTGCGGTTGTATGAAGCTCTAGGAATTTTTAACGAATGAAGCTATAAGCTTCTTTCAACCACCATTGAATAGAGCATGAAAGAAGCTTCTTAACGGTATGCTGGGTAAGTTTTATAGGATAAACTTTGATGGAGAAAAGCTATCTTGAAACAAGGGCTAGAAAAACGCGCATTACTTTTGCACCAACCTGATAGTATTGTGTATGTCAAAGTATAATTTAAATCAGATAATAATCAGATAACAATCAGAAAATCATTACTATCATTTAGAGACATCCGAACAGCAATGATTCTCTTCGATTACATCAGTAAGACGAAATCGAAGCGAATACAAATCGAGTTTTATAGGACATTTTGGCAGCTTATAGTGACTAGAATTTAACACATACAATTGAAATTTTTCCTTTCAATACCTCGCGCTACAGTATGACATCAAGAATTACTAACGAGCAGCCAATTTTTAGTATCCATTCTGCTTTGAAAACTGGCTGCTAGCCATAGCGAGCCACCCGTTGTGTCCATGCAGACTGCACTTTCCCTAGTACAAGGAATAATAGTGAAAAAACATCGGTACGTATTTTGTGTTTACGGCGACAGTTGTCGATCGAAGAGACAATTGTCGAACTGCCAATGCTGAATTTTACCATTTCATCTCATCCATGGATTCTTGGACATTCTGACGTGTCCTCAATGGGAGCTGCTTCAAAACTTTGGTCACGTGTGTTCCCTAGGAACGTTTCAAGGTAAGAATTTCGGATATTTTGTTTCAAGCCCAAAACCATCAAGTATTCTTGTATTTCTCTTCAAAATTACCATGTCTTATACATCTTTTCTTTTGTTTCTTCTTTACTCGTGTTTAAAGCTTGGCCTTTTTTACATTATGTGGAAGAAAAGTACCAGTAATCTATGTTCACGGATACAATTTGTTATAGAACTGCTTAATTTTGGTTAAGTATATTAGTGCAACGAAAGTTTGACCTTAATTTTTGAGAAGTCGTAATTTCTTCCTGGCTCAATGATTTGTACGGATTTATTTGTGTTAGAGAGGATAATTTGTGTTTTGTAGGCATTCCAGCGGTGCGTTAATTGCAGAGAACTTAATTTAGGAAAAAAATTTTGGAACAGCAGCACCACAGATCTTGCTTCTCTTACTAACAATAAGAAGCAGGCTTTGTGCCGACTGAATCTGAAACAGTCATGACAGCAAAGTCATTTTTTGGCATCTTCTTCAAAATTCACAGCTATTCATAAAAAGTCCAATTATCGCAAACTTGGTTCATTCAGAAAAAATAAATACAGACATTTTTTTTACCACTTTCCTTGCCATAGTGATCATTCATTCGTACGAGTTGCTCATAGTGGAGGCGTTCAGTCATTTTTTTCTGATCCATCAATTCAACTCGCCTTTTATTGGATAGCATTATCAAAGGGAATTTAACAATCAAGATGCTATTTGTAAGCAAGATGAAGTGACTTCCAAAAAATTCTGCACATAATTCTACAGTAACGGCAAAGATCGAGCAGCGATACTTATTTCTGAGACCAGTGGCACATATAAACTTTTGCACTAGAAAGTGTAGAAGCAAATTCTTTAGTCCAATACTGAGATAGTTGCCGGATAGAATTTCTTGTCTTACTTTAGTTAATCCCACTTCGCATCCTTCACGGTCAACTTAAAAGTTTTAGAAAATAGATTATGGCTGCTGTCCAAAAATTCTTACGTTCCATTAGATACTAATTTTGCGCGTGCAGTATAAATCTTTTTTCTAGCGACAAAATCTTCTCCAGAACTTATATCTCATGGAAAAAAATTCCAAAATAAGCACTGCAGTCACAAGCGAGAAATGTAGCCTGTTGTTGGAAACCTTTATTGATAGGCAGATATAGGCATTTCGTGAATTTCGCACTTAGGTAAAAATGAAGAATACAAACATTCGAAAATAAGTGCGAAATTGAGGCATGCCTGACTGAAAACGAAGATACAAATTCTTTGAACTAATAATATGTAGATTAAAATACATTATTTTACATCATAGAAACGAGTTTACGCAGAGTCCCAGCATGATTGTTCCAGCGTGGACAAATACCTTATTGATTTGAAAATCCAAATCTGGGAAACCTTCAATGTGGATTTACATTCGAAGGCAGACCCTAACTGACAGTTTTGGCTTATTAAGATGTTAACGAGTCGGTTTGTGTAACTGCATGACTTTTTAAATTTGCACAGAGCCGGCGTTAAAGTACAATACCTTACTTTACACTCCTTGCCGTATGTGTATTCCGATAGGTGCAAAAACCACATATTTCGGAAGTGGTCCATATGAGTCATGATAAAAATGTGCAAGCAACCTGTTTCTATCTGGCTTTTTTTTTTTCAAATTCCGTAAATCATAGCTCAATGAGATATTTTCGGCTAAAGTCTCTCTTGTGGCCTCTCGACCAAATATTCAAATAGCAAGCTTGCGGATTTTTCAAAAATTCAAGAAATTATGCAGAAGAGATGGCCAACACATTCACTTCATTGTAAAGATTCTTGTTTTCTCTTCTCGATACAATTTTTTTGGATTCCACTAGATTTGCCAGTCAGTTGAAGGTGCCTTCTTTGACAAGGTCCTCTTGTGTGAAGGGACCAGAAACGACTTAAAACACAAAAGTCTCTAATGGAAGTTTTTTCATCATCATAAAGGGATGTGTAGCAAGTTTGATACCACAATATCCTTTTATATGAGGGATTAACACTGGTAAGAAGATTATAGTCGCGACCTCTGAACGATTTCGTTCTTTAACAAACGAACCGCTGGTCGAA